AAAAATTTGTGGATTTTATTACATGTATTCAGCTGCCTATATACTGTGTTCTGGGTTGTTTAGCTTTTTTACTTTATAGAGATCTCCTCTAAAATGCATTGACTAAAGCAGTAAGAAACCTTGTCTCAACATCATAAAGGTTCTAATTAGATGCAGCTTTACTGTTTAGCTTCCTAAATTAGATACTGCTCTAAATTAGACCCAAAGTAACAAAAGAAATACATTCTATTTAATATTTTCTTCATTTTCCCTACCCCTTCTCCTTTTGGCAGTTACCAGTAACACAGCCCTGTGCAGAGCAGATAGAGCAGCAGTCCTCACTACTGGCTCCAGTGGAATTTACCTGCTCACACAGAGTGCTGCTCAGAGGCTGCACAGCCCCAACGGGGCTGCATGCTCTGGACAGAGACAACCTGTGCAGAACAGATCCATTACTGACAGAAATATAGCTCTGATAAATCCTGGCACAGATTTATCCATGCTATAGGCCCACATACCATCCTGGGCATGCCAACAGCAGAAGAGCTACTACATTCCTTTCACTATTTCAGATGGGGCTGTAGCCCATACCCACTACTTTTGCTCAGCATGAAAATACTATAAATGCAATATTAGGAGACCTGGTGTGCATATATAATTCGTTTTTTAAAAAAAACTATTTATCTTAAGCCTGTGATTATTCAAGAACCTTTAGAATTAATAAAACAATTAATTAAAATTAAAAAGGTGCTTGTTTGTATGTTGCTGATTTCAGTGGTTCAGATGGCACAGAAAATAAAAAAATCAGAAGGATAATGAGTTCTCCTTTCCTCTGATTTTTTTTGTGCATTTGCCATTGACTATGACAGATATTCCCAGGCTGATCCACTGTAACACTGGAACAGATTTCTGTTTTCACTTTGTCCTGTTACCACCTTTCACACACTTGGTTATTTTATTTAATCACATTCAAAACTAGAAATGAAAGGCGAGGCACACACTTCTTTTGGTGCTGAAGAAATTCACAATGATAACAGCTGTAAAAACAAAACATACAAACACACACACACACACACACACACACACTGACCTCAACATGTGTTCATTTCAAATACGGTGGGATCCAGGAGCCCTTAGGATCCTTACATAGCCCTTACTCCTTGAAGCCATTTAAGCACTTGCCCTGTGTCCCAGCTTGTGCCCATGTGAATCAGCTAGTCCAGGGCAGTTTTTGACATTTTTATGGATTGGCCAGTGAGTGGCCAAGCAGTGAAAACACAAATTATTAGCCATTTGTATATTATTGCTTTTTTTTTTTTCTGTCATGTATGTTTATTCATCAGTTTATGCAACCAATTATTGCAGTAGTTGTTAGCTGTAGTTTAGACACACAAGCCCCCAGAAAAACCTGAATGAAAACACATTATTTTACTTTCTCCTTCTCTTTCTACTACATGAAGAGTTCAAGAAATGCAAAGTCTTCCTTTGCAGGTCAAAAATAACCAACCTCATCCACCACCACCCAACAATGCATAATAAAAGGCTACATGCTTTTTCAGTGTCTCCCATACCTTGCTTGCAAACTACATTTGCCCTTTCCTGCCTTTGGCTGAGGCCACTTAGGTCTTTTCACATCCAGTTGACCATGCCTGGCCCAGATCATGGGGTTTGTATTTTCTGTCCCATGTATTCCCTACTCTTGGGCCTACTGATGCTGATTTGAAAGACAAGGTGTTAAAATATCAATGACAGTTTTAGAATGCTTTTTAAAAGTACAAGAAAATGTTTTAATCTTATTTTTCCCTATTAACAAATACATCATATACTTATTATTTTAAGAGGAACAACACAATCACATTGAGGTGTTAAAATTTGCATTTAGACTATGGGTATCTTCGTTTCTTTATACCTTAACTTTTGCTGTGCTTGGCACTTGCCACCAAATCTATCAGAGGACAGTTTTATCCTTTCATCTTAAAGCTCATGGGCTTCAGGGGACAAATTAAAATAAAGCCAGCAGACTTCCTGGCAGTGGGGGAGCAGACAAGTGCAGGGCTGTGAGGAGGGCCAGGAGCACAGCCCAGCTGCAGCAGTGAGAGAAGGCTCTGCAGCATAATTCCAGTGCATCTCTCATAAAACTCACCAGGATGGCTGGGTTTTGGTCAAACCAAGTGGAAATAGCAGATAAAAATTCTTCCATGTGCTACCCTGCAAGAAATTATTTTCTTCTTTTTTGTGCCTTTCTTCACCCCAGCTCAGAGAAAGTAAAAATGATGACATCTTCTTGTGAAGACTCTATTGAACACATGCACACCCTGTACATATGTGTGTGTCTGTACCCACATATACATATGTATGTGTGTACCCACATATATATATGTGTGTGCATGTGTGGACATGCATGTATGCAAACACACAGAGACACATCATTTATCCAACACATGAGTTGCCAAAAAACATTCTATAGCCTGTATCAGTAGTGCATGCAATTAATGCCAAAAAATCCCCCCCAAAAAAACAAAAACAAACAACCAAAAACCCAAACAAAAAACCAGAAATCCTCCCTACCCCACTTTTTGGGTTTTTTTTAATCTTTGCCTTCTGAGACAGGGGTAAAAGATATTTATAAAGACCAAGAATTGATTTCTGTACCAGTCATCATGTCATCTGTCAGCTGTCACTTAGGTCCCTTTCCCAGCCTTTTCCCAGCTTTGATGTAACTTCATATATCCATTTATTGGTGCTGGCCTTATTGTAATTTTTAATCACTGATTATCAAAGATTGAAACAGGTTTTCTATCTGTTGCTCTATCTAATTTCCAGACATCAGTCCTGCATCTCTGATTTTCAAAAAGGAGTAAGAAAATATCACTGATTTTAGCTTTTCTGTAAATAGGAAATGTATATCCATAACTCCACCTGTTTCTCTCTGTGTTGTTTGCTCTCTATGGGTGTTGTTCTATCCAACCATTGCATGGGGAGCTCTCTGTGCCAGAAGAGCTCATGAGTGTGTTCGGGTCTTGTCCTTTATTTATAAACAATGGCATGGGATTTTGGGGTGTGACAGTTAAACTGGAAAGAGACACACACAGACCTAAGCAATGTAGGGGTGCTGTATTTGATTTATTATTATGTTTTATCCAGTGAATGTTCACTTCTAAAGGAAGGACACTCAGAAGTGGCACTGTATATTATAAGATATAATGTTATATTCCCCTATAGTAAACACCAGTCTTCTAAGGAAAAATAAATTAAAATTCATATGTATTTGATGAGGTTGAACACAAATTTCTACAATTCTCCTGTACTCAGAACCAGCTTTTTTCATTCTGGTTTAATATGAATGCAGTTCATAAATGAAAAAGGAGCACTGACTTCAAAGAAAAGGCTTAACATGACCCAATGCAGAAACTGGATGTAAATTATAATGTGTCACTAGCTGAAGCAGCATATGTTGGAAGAACTCACTGGAATTCTCTTCTCTTTTGGGGACTGTGAAATGCATTAAACATGCATCTAAATAAAAATGAAAAACTACTTGTATTGTTTTGTTACTCTGTAGGAGAGTGAAATATTTTAAACAATCCAATTTTACAGATATCGTATTAACAAGTCTCATTATTGTCTTTAAATAGCTATTCTACAAAATGTAACAACAAAATAGTCACAGTCCAAGAAGTCACTCCAAAATAAAGCCTATTAGGTGTTAGTATGGTTATACTTGTACTGCAGCCAGTGGACAAACATTTAAAGCTGAGATAATTTGGCTTAAATGTTGGATTACATAGTGGACATTGTTGTTTTCACAATAAATTCATCATCTGCTTTGTATTTGTTTGATTCACTGATATTTCTCTAATGATAAAAATACCACAGTATGTTTAATTTTGGTGTTTAACAATTCTGCAAAATTACAAAGCCTAAAGTTAACTTGCACAATGAAAATCTGCTTTTCCTGATGACTCTGATTTTGTGGTTTTGGTTTTTTGTTTCCCTACTATCACAGCCTTTCTCTTTTTTTTTTTTTTTTTTTTTTTTTTTTTTTNTTTTTTTTTTTTTTTTTTCTTCTTTTTGTTTCCACACAATTGTGTCAGATGTTGCTTATTTGAGATAGAGAGAGTAACTAAATAATTTAGAACATAAATGCTTGGGTGGGTACATACTGCAGCACAGATATGAAACATCACATTTTTGTCTGATGGCTATAAAGCTTGTTGGCAACTTCGTGAAACTGCTGAAACAAAAGGCACCCATCAAAGGCCTTTTGCATGTTAGCATAATAAATACATTCATCACTTTTATTATTTTTATTTGGTTATTACTGTACTTTTGTGTGTGGTATCCCAGGAAATTAAAATTAAATAAAGGAAAAAAAAAATCAGAAGAACAACTGCTAAAATAAGATGTTGCTTATTGTAGGAATTAACTGAGGACAGCACATTGTGAGTTTGTAGAGCTGAAGCTAAACCAGTTTTTATCTTTATCTGAATTAATCAAAAGGAGATTCAATGTGCCCTTTACCAGGGTATGAGCTTTCACCAAAGTGCAAGGATGTGGAGCTAAATCTATACATATTAGGAAGAATTTGTACCACCTCAGGCCAATGAAAGGCTATCAGCACTTGTGAAGTAAGGAAGTAACAAAATGTGGTAGATGAGATGGTTTATAACTGACACTTCCATGCACTATTTTCTGCACTCTGGATAAAATCACTGTAACAATGGCAAAAGAAGAAGAATTGCCAAGCTTGCCTTCCTGAAATTAGCAACTGCTGATGGCTAATGGGAAGTGAAGTGCAATTGCCAGATTTGCCATTTCCAGCCCGTGGCCCTTGGCGGGGGTGGTGCCGTTCCCTGTGCCCGTGTCACAGCGCGTTCCCAAGGGTGTCCCCGTGTGCCACCGTGGGAAGGGGCAGGGACAGGGGGGGGTTACTGCACCTGCTCACAACTGGCAGTCAGCGTGATCTACATATGTTAATAAAACAAGGAATATTTCAGAAGAATGTTACATGTACAAAAATATGACTTTCAAACTCTGAAAATAAATAAGTTCAATTTATTAAGAGCTGGTGTCAATGCTGAACAAAATACACACCTTCCAATAAAGAAACATTTTGGTGAAGTGTAGGTTTTTTCTTTTTTTTCTTTTTTTTTTTTTTTGATTTACTAAAATACAAGTTGGACCTTTTTTTTCCTTTTTGCAAATATATCATTTGTCTCCCTTAATTACATATCCTTATAACAGTGACCATCATTCTCCTTTAAGCCAAAGACTGAGGGTTTGTTGAATTTTTTTTAATTCTTAGGAGTCTGGCCACATATGCCATTTTGTAAGGGAAAATACTTAACAATGAAAAAAAAAAAGAAAAATATATTTTTTCTAATAAATAAAAATAATTTAAAATGCTAGAGGCTATACATGACTAATTTTGATTATGTTCATTTATAAATGAAATAGTTTCCAAAATACGTGGAAGCAATATTAAAGGCAGACAAACAAAGATCTGTCTACTTTATTTTCCCATTAAGCGTGCCCTTCTTAACTTCTCCATCAGCGGTTCAGCAAGTAAGAGGAATAAATGTCACATCACCATTCATGAAGTTTGTCAGGCTTTATAAAAATAGTTCTGGCTTCGAAGGAGTCAACATTCATCTTCAACTTCTCGTATTGGTGGTATCAAGCTGCTTGTAGATTTATATTGATTGATCTGATTGGCCATGTGAGTGCTCATGGGCTTGATTTGAATGTTTCTGGGGTAGGCATTATCCGGCTCATCTGTAAACCATTTCTTTTCTGCTAAGGAGCAAAATAGGTAGAGACAGAATAAGGAGGGAAAAATGAAAGCGTTAATTAGTGAAGCACACATACACAGAAACATTAAAAAAAGAAAAAGGGAGCAGTCAGTAAAGTTTATAGAAAAAAGAGATCAATAGAAGGTGACTTTGAGTAATTACTAGCAGTACAGTGCATTAGATTAATACGTCTGAAAATACGGTTATGAAAGGAGGATGACGCTTGCAGATTTGCTAATAGAAGCTAAAGAAAACTGCCAATATGCTAGTTTGCTTTTTGGGTGTAAGAGAGCTCTTTTCTTGTGCCCATGCTCTGGTGATTCATTTATTGAAAAAAAAAAAAAAAAAATGATACAAATCAAAGTCTAAACTAAGAAGCCAAGGAGAGCAGCTGGGATAAGGGTAATACAGAAAAGTGCATGTGAGTCTACACACAGAGGAGCACCTAAAGAGTCAGACTTCTCTGAACCATTTCAGCCTGGGCTGGTGGCTACTGCTGGCCCAGAAATCATGCAGGAGAACATAAAGAACTTTCTGCAGCCAGTGTTAGAATAAACAGGACTTGTATTCCTGCTGCTGGACAGCAGCCTTGCTGCACGGGGTGGCATTATATCCCTACTCTGAAACACAGGTTCTGGGGCACTACTGAACTCCAGGGTTTAAAATGGGGTGGGGAACACAGCAGACACTGCAGGTGACTGTGGTAGGGGCTCCAGCCAATCCTGAATGGATCAGTCGTGACAGGTGACAGCAAGGCAAAGGAAATAAGGACTAAAAATTTAGAGAGGGAGCTCTTTCTTTTCTATCCTTGAGCAATGCCTGTTTCCATTAACACAGAAGGAATTTTATGATGTGACTTTAAGGTGGGCTGGGAGCAATGTGGGAGGATGCTGAAAGGCTGCAGCATTGCAGCCCTTTCCCAGCTGTTCATCATTGTAACCACTGTGTTGTACTGCTCCATTGCAGGTATGGACTAAAGCTTCAAAAATTCACAAAAGGGAAAAAAAAAAAATTTTAGACCCTTTAGAAAGCAATTTCTGCTAGATAACTTTATTCCAAGACTTGGGAACTCCTGATCTAGAGAGTGGCCAATGCATTTGTGCCTTGACAAGCATTTCTGAACAGACTCCATTCTTGTCCTCCTTCCCCAGATTCCAGAGGTGGGTGGGCAGAGCAGTGGACACTTATGGTTCTGGGCATTTTTTTATTACATGAAAGCTTACAAGTGTGTCACACCAGACCTGCTACTCTAACAGATATGCACTACTTCTCATTCCAATGGGAAACCCAAATGCTGCAGAAGCTTTAATGCCTCACATAATATTAACTGGTACTTTTCTAATCCCTGAAATGCTGCACTTTCTAGAATCAGGACAGGAGTGAAAAGAATGCTCATTTTTTAATAAATAAATTATTTCAAATTAGCAAAAAAAAAAAAATACACCTTAGAAACCCAAGAATTGAGCAAAAAGCTCAGGAGGTAAAGGAGAGAAAAGAAATTGAAAGACTGAGAATAATAGGGAACAAACACCTGGACATAAGTGCACAAAAATAAACAAAGACCTTTGGAGTGTCAAGAAGTAGCTTCATCTCCAGAACTACTAGACTTTTCAGTCACTTTCATTAATAACAAATTAAACCACTTACACTTTATATGGCTTTTTAGAATTTACAAGCCAAACCCCCACTCCCCATTAAAACCTTTGCTATGTGTTCTTATACATTTTCAAAAATTAAATCAAACTTAGAAATTGTATTACATATTAGTGGCTTATTACTGAAGGGAAATGGAACTACTGTATTGTTTTTCTTGTAATTTTCTAAAATGCTTTGCTCTTGTGTTTGAAAATATCCTACTCATTTGTGACCAGACTAAATAATTCCCTGCCCCCTTAAAGGTGCCTGAGTCTGAACGATGTTCAGTCTCCCATCTCCCTCTCTCTCACCTATTATAATTAAGTTCCCTTTGATTTGAACAGATTGGACGATAGGAATTCATAATGTTACATCCTGCACACTGAAGCTAACTGATTAAGTGCTTTAAATTATTCTTCCTGACAGAATGATAAAGTTACAATCTGTTCAGAGATGATCTACAGCTTGCCAGACTCCTACCGTTTCTTTCTACATTCATTTATCTTTTTGTCAAGCAGTTAAAAAAAAAAAAAAAAAGAAATAAAAAAAGCCTCAATTCCATAGATCTTTTAAAGTAATCAGAACATCTGAATTATTAATGAGACTTTAAGGGAATGATTCCTGATGGGGGCCAGTTTAAGAAAGGTTGTAGGAAAAAGAAGTCTGGGAATGTGTACACATCAAAATAATTTCAGCTCCATTTAAAAAACCATTTAGTTCAAGTGTGACACATGAACCATTATGCATTTGTGGAAACCAATTTTATGTGATCTACGATTAAACTAACCTTTCAGAGAGGTGTAAAGTGTGATGGTTATCATGTTTTAAAAGCCTTGTGAGATCACATAAACAATTTCAAACTAACAGTTTTCTAATGGTTTGTGTTTAAAATGATTTTGAGGCAAGTTAAGCGCCGTGAACTTTCATTGCTACCTTCTTTTTTTTAACACATGGTGCAAAAACTTTCCTTACAAACAGAACTTGGTGCAAGTTAATTCAAAGTTGTAGCAAGTAAGGGGAGACTTGTCTTAGTGCTAAGAATCAGAACTGTGCTGTGTTTCTCAGCAGCCAGTGTAAAGCACTTCAAAATACTCTGCTTTCCCCAAAATTTTCAAAATAAGCAATTTATTTATGCACTAAATTTACAGTAGAACTCCTATATAGGGAGCTGTTCTTTAAAAAGAAACCCACTCACTTTTTGCCTTTACATGGCAAGTAATACATACAGAACATTAATAATAAATTTAGAAGCTGGTAGATTCTAATGTCTTTTGCTGTTCAGATTTCTTTTTGCCAGTGCTGAAACCTTGACCCAAGCATTATCATTCTCCAGCATGCAATGCTTAGACCCAGCTTTATACCTTTCCTGTTCCTCTCCTCTGTTAAAATTGTCTTTGGCCACATAACGATGAATCTCCTGTGCAAATTCATTGACCTCTTTACTTACCTTTGAAATGTGAGCTTAACACTCCTGATCTCTTGGCCACTATGATATTCTGCTCCAGTCACTAAATGTCCTTCTTGAAGCCCCTACACACTTTTCAGTCTTTTATCCTATGCTTACAGCCTAATTTTGGTATATCTTCCAGTGTCTTAGTACAGATTTTTATCTTTAATGTTTACTCTTTCCATTAGATCAGTTCAGAAACCCCCTTTTCAAAGTCTTTATATATTGCTATAGTCACCAAGCATTTTTAAGTTCTCTGTCACATTGAGTCTGTTTCTCTCCCTTTTGGAATATGCATATTGATCCTTACCAGAAGTGTTTCTACATTATAGTGACAAGAGGCATGTTTTTGTATTTTATTTTTTAGGAGCTGCTAAAAAAGTCCCTGATCTTCCTACACTATTTGACAGGCTTCTTTTTGACAACATCACCTGGGAGATGTTGGAACAGCTAAGTAACTGAATGTATCAGAAAGCAGAAAACACTTTCCTCTCAAACATCTATGTTTGTAATGGGCTATCAGCATCAGTACATCCATGAAGGTTTTAAAAGCCTAATGCTCATATTACAAATAAATAAAAATTAATATTTTTTTGTAACACCCTTCCCTGTAGCATAAAAAAGGATATAAATAATCAAAGTAAAAAGATCAAGATACTGTTTTCTTCAACTTGTATAAGATTGCAGCAACTCTCTCCAACAGATTTATTGTATTGGTGCTTTAAAATTTCTATCATTAATTTTGGACTGAGTGGCAACTTAGAGCAAATGCCACTGTGAAACACCCTCTGTTCTAAGCAGAGGCAAAGAAAATACTACCAAAACAGAAGAGAAAGGTTTTACTACTTTTGTATTCTCACCATAATCCAAGGTTACCTTTCAACTGTTTAAAATATATATATATTTTTGTCTTCTGTGACACATGCAGTTTCAAATTTGTTTGCATGTATGTAATTGTGTGTCTCCTCCCTGCATATAACCATCTTGTTTATAACTAAGCTGAAAATTCTTCCATGTAATTTGTTTCTGCATGAGAAAGAAAAGTAATGGAAGTTTCTCCACCCACCTGCTCAGCAATTCTTTGTTTGGCAGATGAATATTTTACATGTAGCAGGCAGTAAGAAATTTGCAGGGAAAGATAGAATAAACTATTTTTTCTATGAAGAACTTTACTTTGCTCCAGGGCAATTAAAGTTTTGTGACAATGTTCTGGACTTGTTCTTGATTTTTTATTTTTTAAACTACTAAAATTCTTAGTTTTGACAATGGGAGTTCCACTGGAAAATGCCTGACTCTGTCTGTTTGGGTCAATAGGAACCCTCACCAAGAACCTGCAGGTTTGCTAGACATAGCTTTGTGCCAACACTTAAGCTCACGAAGGACTGAAACACTAGCTGAAACCATGCTGGGACTGATGTAAATGGCAGGACCTTAATTTAAAAACCTAAACCATGACCTCCCGACATTGGTGATACTTCTTCACTTTAAAGAACTAACCATTCTACTATGGCTGTCTGACCTGGGATAGAACAGGAGATTTGCTCTTACTTTTCAATATAAACACCAACATAATGTTGATTTAAGTATTTCTCTGCTTATAATGACCAACCCCCATTAGTATATCCATATCAGAAAACCCTCATCATTATAATAAACTATTTGATCAATCTAACTATAGTTAGCAGTGGAAATTGAACACAATACTACTAAAAGTCAAAAGTTTTAGAATTCTAATTTCAGGTTAGAGGATAGAGGTGGAGTAGACTTCAATGTAATTTGAAGAATTCAGATTTTCACCCATATAAGATATTCCTCTTCTGCTGTTCACAAAGTAAGCAAGTTACTTCTCTAATGTATGCTGTTTATATTTTTTTCTATTTGAGCTGCACTGTTATACAAATACTATTTTTTTGGATAAAAATCATTATGTTGCATGTGACAAGTGGCTTCATATTAACACCCTTCCTTTCTCTGCTAAATGGAAAACAGATAAAACATTAATGGAAAAGCATTTTGGTGTCAAAGCCATTAACATTCTTCCAAAATGTGTAACTGCTCTCAACTATCTTCAATCAATTCTGCTGACATAAAAAGATGCTCATGTACATACATGGGGAATAAGAGAGTAGGGAGGGGAAGGTAGGAAAGAAACTGGAATGAGGAATGGGAAATTAAAGTAATGTCTGCACCACGATAGGCATCTTCATTGAGCAGGAACCTGGGTGTTTACAAAAGGACACGTGCAATTAGAGAGGCAAGCAGATGAGAGGATAATAAAACAAAACAAGGTTGAGAAACAGCAGCAGCAGCAGCAGCAGCCAGTTTTACCTCCGGTTTGGTGGGGGAAAAAAAGGCAAAAGAAAACCAACAAAACAATCAACCAAACAAACAAACCAATAACTGAATAAAGTTTGTAACTATTTTTCTTTTTTTTAATTTCACAAGTTTTCACAAGGACAAAGTTATAGAGGGAAACCCACAGCAGTTGCTAGGTCATGCAGAACCATTAATTTTCATACCTTGGCCCATTCTATTCATCCTTGTTGCACTTTAGAAAAAGAAGTAAGCTATGTAAGTTTTACAATGCTTTTAAACTGTCATATTTCTGGTTGAGCACTTTAACTGGCACATCCTTGTAGCAATAAATATTCTGAGGGCAAAACATGGTAACTTTCTTTGCAAAAAGGAACACGTGAATTTTTTTTATGATGAAGAGCAACTGTAATAGTCTCATTTGTAAGGGTGCAGCCATAATTTACAATGTCTTTCACTGATTGGACTTACAGCTGCATTTGAATGCACACTCACACATATAGACTGCATTCCAATCATTTTGCTTAGCACTGCACAGTGGCCCACTTCTCTGTAGCCCACTTACATGGTTCCAGGTTTTGTCAGTAAAAGTGCTTGGCTTTATTGTCAATTCACACAGCAAGCAAATCTTCAATATTATCATGCTTGGGGAAGGGGAAGGTAGAAGACAAAACTAACCATAAAAGCACCTTGATTGGGTTGGCAGTTACAATGCTAATCATTCCAAATCTAAATATTTTTTTCTGTCTGCATGCTTTCTTGCTGGATAGCCAGGGAAGAGGGTATGTGTTTCTGTCCTTCCTACCCTAGGAAACCCTCCATAAACCTAGAGCTAGCTCTATATTTCAAAATATACATTGGCTTCTGAAGTTTAAAACAAGAAAAAAAAAAGTAAAAGCAAGCCTGAAGTATAATTCCTATGGCAGTCTAGGGCAGGTACCTTTCCACTACGTTATTTAGTTCCCTGCCACAACTTTTTTTTGGCTACATGTGTCATTGGTGACAATTTGCAAGAACTAAATTCTAGCAAGTGCATGGAACACGATGCCTCAGCACTGTGAATATTTCCAACCCAGCTCTCTTGTTCTACTCAAGTTGGGCACAGCACCTTTTCTCCCCAAATGGCAGAGATTTAAAGGCACTCGGTTGTCTTCCCTGTATTCCTGCCTACTGGCATGCACCTGTTGAAAAAAAACAGGTAGAACATGCGGCAAGATTTCTGGAGCTTCTTCACATATTAGGACCCCTGTTGGAAGATTTATACCAACACCAACTTGGAAAAGTTAAACTAGCATCTGGGGAAAGGAACAAAGTCCCTTGAGATCTGATATGTAAGCATAGAAAAATGCTTGCTCTTTTCTGAGCATTATTTATTCTGTACATAAGGTGACTAATTCACCTTTTAAAGACGTAAAAGTCCCAAGAAGGCAGTTTTTAATGACTTACATCCAATATTTATGATACATATGGCTTTTTATCCCAAATGTCAAAAGTGAAAGAAAATATAGCTATTCATGTGGCAATATAAATAGACAGAATAATAATTTAATATGCAATTAGACTCTCTAAACTTAAATTAAACCATTGGAGTTGTTAAGCTTTATGCCCCGACAATTTCAGTGTTAAAGGGAAAATATACCATCTCCAAAAGACTAGTATTTTAGAGGAAGTTCTCAAACAAGCAGAAAAGTCCCTGATATTGCTTTGGTATAAAGCAGATGTCTAGCAATAATCTATACAAGGAGTGTAAGCCCTATGTAATATAAGATTTGAGAGTGAAAAATCAGCAGGGATTTTTTTTTTTGCACGGTTTTTGTTGTTTTTTTTTCAATAGGGGAGTTTTATAAGCTTCAAATAAATGTATGAGCTCCTGTACATATGAGCATTAAAAAAAAACCTACTGCAACATACATCAACACTTCTGCACTAAATGACTTTCTTTGTGTAACTCTGACATCAAGAGCAAGTGTTCATGTTGAATATACTCTATTTTCGGATATGGAGAGTAACTGCAGTGAGTTATTTATGTTTTGAGTGTGCCTATGGGTTTGGAATTCTTTTTTTATTCTCCCCTAGCATCATAAATAACTTTTGGTCCGTCTGCTTTGTTGCTGTTGTGCTTAAGGGTTTTATGGTGGTGAAATAAAAATGACAATCACATGCACACTGTCATACATATGCAAAATATGTGTACAAAAAAGGGAGAACTCCATGGGAAAATGGGGAACATTACTGCTGGAAACATTAACCGGGGAAAATGGGTGGTGAATGCAAGTTTCACACACAGTGGGAGTGGATACACATATCAAAGTCTGTCCTCCTGCACATACTTCTGTTTGTCCCGGGAATCCCTGCTCTTGGTGCGGTTCGGTCGGTTTGCTGTTGATGGGATGGAGTGAACTGATGAGCTCTTCTTGCTGGAAGAGTAGGAGGAATGGGAGGAATGAGAGAGGCTGGCTCGGGACTGGCCAGCGTTGTGGTCAAATTGCATCAGACAGAAGATCAAGTCCGTCGGCACAAGCTCAAATTCATATGGTGGGTTTGTGATAACATAACTGGAAAGGAAGGAAGACAGAAAAAAATGAAAGAAAAAGAAAACAGCTTTAGATTTATACTAAAACATTTCTTCTAGATTTTTTGAACTTAACCCAATTTTTGCATTTCTGTTTGTACCTAATTTTAGCTCACAAAATTCTCGCTGTAATTTTCGGACCTTTTTAAGTCAGCTGTCACTTTTTTTATGTTTTCTGTCAAACAGACATAATGCCTGAGAATGATGTTCTTCAAGTGAATCACATAATGATTTTTCAGAGAAACCACCATACAAATCATGCTCCTTTCTCTGGCTGCACCATAATGCAATGACTCTAGAAAATATATATTGACAAAAACCAGTTAACATACCCACCACAAATGGTATTTAAAAGAATGGCAGAAAAGCAGAGAGAGGAGGATTTTACATGCAGCTTATTTAAATGAATATTTAAATAAATATTTACATAGTTATTAAATATTTAGATGACATCAATAGAACAAGGGGTATAATTATTGGTTTGGATTGTGACTGAAGTTAAGGAAAATACATCAATAACTCTTAAGCGAGGTCAATTTTGTTCATGCACTCCACATGTACCTTCATGGCCTCAAAGAGCATTTATAAAGAGAAATCTGCACATCCGAGAATCCAACATTGCTCAGTATAAATCCCAGGCCTGAAATAAAAACTTGCTCAATTTCAAGAATCCTCACCTTCACCTAATGGCCTTTCAGGGTATGAAGGACTTATAGAGCAGCTGCTAAATTTTCCATGCATGTGAAAAACAGACTTGTGCGAGGCAATTGGCATTTTCTTTCCAAGCAAGAAATGAGTAAAAATTGAACATGAAGCTCGTGAATTCTTTTCAAATTAATTCAATGCTCGTAAGAAATCTGCTTAGCTCCTTCAGGGACAGAAGTCCCTTATTAATTCAACAAATAATTCCAAGTCTAGCAACTACACTGTAAATCTAAACTGCAACTCAATTTTTCAACCCAATTTGTTCAAATTCTTACAGAAGAAACCGCTTTGGTGGGCTGCAGTGCTGTTTATTGCCATGTTCACCCAATAATGATGCTTTCTGTAGAGCATGAAACAGTAACAGATGGTAGATTTGTGGTACTTCTGGTATGGGTCTGTGTGTGTATTTCTAGGAAGCAGTTAATTAAGACACATTTCAAGCAAGCTGCTAAATGGCCTTCAGTTTGCAAAGATGGAAATGTGTCTGCTCTATTTAAAGCACTAAGGTCAGGCTTGGTGCTACTGAAGTAAAAATGTAGTCTACCAAGAGAAAGTCTTCCATTTACTGGAAGAAATTATGCTTAAACACAGATGGTACTGATGGGAAGCCCACAGGAGTATTTTTTGAGCATTCAGAAAAAAGACTAGCTACTGTAATTTAAATTATTATCCCACAACTTAGAGTTGATTGATATAAGGGAACTGAAGTCCTTCCCTTGCAGGCAAACAGTGGATCATCATGGAGCAAACAAGATAAAGATACACTCTGAAAATTTAATTTAAAAATTCTGAATAAAATTAGCTGACAACTTATGCTGTGATATCCAGCTTATATTTAAAGTCAGAAAGAATCATGGAGTAATCCTCAAAGAGAACTGGGGAAAAGTTATGCAAAAATGAACAAGCTCTTTTTTATATTTATAACAGGCACTGGGCATTTCCTCACTGAGAAGACTGAAGAGCAGGGAAGCAGAGATGTTCTAGAAGACCAGACTCACCGTTTAGTGCATTGGCTGGGAGTACTTAGATGCGCATCCCTTAATCGATAAATTCCAAAGCAAAGCATATTGTATGTTTTCAGTGCTTTACAAAACAGATCTCCATAACAACCTCCATCCTAGAGGAAAGAGAGGAGATGAAAATTTAAAAAAGAGAACAGTGCATTTTTTTTCCTTTCTTTGCTGTGTAAAGACAATGTCAGGGAACAGGTCATTCAGTATGAACTTATAAAAAAAGGGACAATGTATAGACAGTCTGTTGTTGTCTCAAATGAGAGCCTTTTACCCAAGGAAATGAATAATCTAAATGTTTTATTTCAAATAAGTAACTATGTAAAGTGATGATTGCTATTTTGGAGAGCCTTGGTCCATGAAATAATGGCAAATTGGAAAGAGTGAGTGATTTGCTTTAAGCTGGAAATCTAAATTTTGGTACCAGACAATGCATATTCTACAAATTACATTAACTATGGTATTAAAATTGTTCGTATCTTTGACCCTTTCTTGGCAGCAGTCATACTGTCATCCAGACAAAAAAAAAAATCACAAGGAGCACAACAGAAATTAGAGTTCAATGGGTTTAAGAGGATAATAAAATATCTGCTGCTGTCAAATAATGACTAAATGTATGATTAGCAAAAAATAAGTTTGGATTTGCTTATCTGTATATCCAAAATAGTGATTCTCAAGTAATCATGAGAGTTAATGCATTCTGCCTTCACAGACGCAGTGCACTTGAGGCTCTGGTGAAACACCATTCAAAAGATTGGTGTTGCATACTTTATTTGTGGAAATGTTAAGCTGCATGCCAGTGTTTTGATGAGCTGCTAGTCTCAGCTACAACTGGACTGCTGCATCAACTGAAAGGCTGCAGGCTACTATCTGTGCACTCTTGCTAGGGCAACCTTACACTGGGATTCTCTGTAATTTCTGTGACGAAGGTCATTCCATTCTTTTTGGACAAGGCTGGTGAACACAGGGTTAATTTAAGAAACATCAAATCCTACATCATCATCAAAGCAGAGTGTGCTTTGGGACCTCAAGATTTCAAAATGTGGTCCAGAAAATATTTCTAGATACTTAATTTTATAATACACTCTTTTTTAGAAGATTATTTATTTATTTATTTATTTGGTTTGGAGTTTTAATTTTTTTTTGCTTGTTTTTTGACTTCACCCTTAGAACAGTGCAGTCAAATTATCAGAAAATTAGCATTGCATAAGAATTTTAGTTCATCCAAAACCAGCAGAAACCAAACCTTACCACTTTGTTTTCGAGCTAATGAGCAGATTTTAAGAACTGGAAGCTCTGTGAAAACACTAAATAAGCTTATGAAAACCCAAAAAAGGTATATGTGTACATATTGAATGTATTTAGAATTCATTATTGCTATAATTCTTACATCATCCAAATCAACTCATCTATCTCTTTAGCTGATAATAAAGAAGAGACACAGTATTTTCTGTATGAAATATGCAGGCAAGGATCCTGGGCAGTCATACAGCTTCTTAAAAAGGTAAAAAGCAAACCTGGCACTCTGTGCTATGAATTTTTAAACAATCCACAAGCTCTATTAAATACAATTATAGAAATTATATGCTTATTGAGATAGATTTTTCACTCAGTCTGAGAGAAAGCTAATAGAGCACAGACCAGCCTTGCTCCTGCATTTCGCTCATGATCTTACCCCTAGGTCTGCAAATGGCCCATCATACAAAGCCAGCTGAGCAACTCGACACCTGTCCCTGTTTGCAAGTGTCTGGGGCGTGCTGTAACCTCCTCTCAATGCATTTTCCTCAGCAATCAGTGCTTCCAGCTCTGGTGTGGCTCCTCCTGTTACCAATGTCCGTATCAGTGTGAGGATATTGTCATTGAAGTATGTCTGCAGAGATAAAAGAAAGCTCTTTAAGCAAACACCATTAAAGTCACAACTGAAGACATCCAAATTACAACTTTTCCGGGTTTCTGCTGTTTAAAGTTCTTGGCTGTCTCTTCAAATAATTTTATATAGAAAGTGAAAAGACAGCAGCCTCCAATTACTCTATTTTCTTCTATCCCATTAGGCTTCTATACTAGATCCTTCCTTTTAAACACCAATTCAGGCTGATTTTTATTAAAGTACAAAAATTTGAATGATTTATGTTTCCTATAATTGGTGTTAGTAGTGATGCAATGACTGCTTTCCTTCTCATCGCCCTCATGTCTAATAATGGGCTTTAGGACATGTAATTGTAAAATTCAGACCACATTTAAAGCTTACACAGGCTAGATTGCCTTTTTACTCTTGTCACCAATTCGTTGGGGAGCTGCCTTTGTGCTGCAAATGTCATTACTTATTACTGTGGCTGGACTCTAGCAGTCTAACCGATGTATTGTACTAAACATCTTATTTCGAGACTTGACAGTGTTCAGACACAAGCATGTATCAATTAAACATCTTGAGTTCACTCCAGATAAATGTATGATGAGTTTGGGATCCTGGTGGTCCTTTTAAAAAACTCTAGGGTATAGGGTAAGTGTGGTTTATTAGGGAAGATTTACTCCACACTGACATTTTGCCAGCATCTGTAACATTGCTGGTCTGTCAGGCAAACAATGGGTATTTAAAATATTAATTTAAATCCAGATGAATGACTTTCAAGTTCACTTAAAAGTATACTGGTATAGTTCAGACATACTCAGTTAAACATCTGCAATGTATTGTACTGGGCAAAAAAAATGTTGAACAAAAAAAAGGAAATACTGTCACTTATAATGTCACCAATGCCTGAGTTTTCAGAAGCTTTGTAAGTGCAGGGAACATAAAAGGAAAAAATGAGCTCATTGTAGAGTACACAGGATTGACATTACTGGATTTCTAGATTTTGTTGTATTTAGGACTCAGAACAAATGTCTGTAATCCAACCAAGTAAAAATGAATAGTGAATTCTCAAACAGTGCTTGTTGCCTAAAGATAAGACTTTTAACATAATACTTTTCAATGAAATTCATTGTTATATCCATATAATGGAACTGCATTTAATACATGGGTAAACTGAGGTAGAGGTTGAAATATTTTATCCTGAGATCAAAAAGCAGAACTGGCTTCCTATCCATGTAACTTTGATATTCTTTCTTTGTATAATGAAACTTCAGTTTCATTGTTTGCTGGAGATGACAGATAAAACAGAAGAAAATGAGTTCTACGCAGCAATGTTTTTCACTTTACATTGAAGTTTCCTAACTTCAAGCCTCTCTGCTTATTTACATAGGCATATATGGCATTCACCTGTTGACTAAATTAAAATGAGAGGAACATATTCTTATTGTTATACATGCCCTAAAGCAAATATTTGCATCTCATCAACTCCAATTATTTAAGTTAACCTAGGTAAGGCAGTACATATTTTAACTACAAAGCACATTGTAAGGAGTAGTCTGACAAGCTGAGATTCACAAAGATTCAGCTAGTCTAAAACAACAGCTAATCTCAAATCAGCTCTTACACATGTGGATGCACTGGGTAACAATTCAAGTGTAATATTCAAACCTCTCTTAACTTATAGAAAAAATCAATGTGACCCCTTGCAGGAATGTAAGTCTGGAGAGATTACATAATGTTTAATAGGAATTGCCACTGTGAGAGAGAGAAGACATTCAGGCATGATTGTTTATTTTTCAATTACTTCTTCCTTGATGTCCATGAGATGAAATCAGAGTCGCCCTCTTTGGAAACTCTTCCCACTGTACTATACCTCTAAGGCAAAGTTAAGACCCTTATTAGCAAAGGAAGCAGAATTTATTGTGGAACAATGGCTTAATTTGGGTTTCACACCATGACTGATGTGGAAGACAACCATTCAACCAGACGGATGAGTGCAGCCAACAGATATTTCTTGGGTTTTGGGGGTTTTTTTGCAATCAATGGGAGAAAAGATTCCAAGTTTCAGGACAAACTGCTGTAGCATTGCATCTGATCAGAAAATGCACAAGCATAAGCAAGAAAAGACGGGTGAATAGGAAGCTGTAACTTCTCACCTTCTGCTAAATAGGGTTGCTTCCTTCTGTACTAAAGTATTTAACACTCCTCAAGAAAAAGCTGTCTACCCGTGCTTCTGATTGTCACAAAAATCAGACTCCTCATTACATCTTGCCAGTTTGGAACTAGAAGAACACTGAAAAACTGAACTAGCTGATATCCATTTCCTTTGGAATAATAATACACTGAAATTAATTTGAGAGTGATCTTCTACTTGCTCTGTGGGAGGGTACATGGCCTGAATATGCCAGTACTTATAAGAAACTGATCTACAGAATGTCTTTGGAAAGGTGCTGTTGTACTTAAAGTAACAAGGCACTTTCCAGTGATGGAAAGAATCCCTTTTGTTAAGTGTAAAATCAAAACTGAAGAAATACTTGTTTGCTATTGTCATTAACCAGACCCCACATTGGACATGTGTGTTATATCACTTTAATGGCATCCAGAATGAGAATATGAAATAGGTGTATTCTAAACACAGAAAAAAAAGAAATGCATCATAGACACTGAAACTGGGTAAATAGCAAGGAAATTGTGACACAGATATCTGAACTAGCAGTGCCACCTAGCCATTGCTTTGGAATTGTAGTGTAGCTCTTTCAAATGTTTCAAGGATGCTCTCCCATTTGTTCAATCATTTTTTAAAGTATAATTACCAGAGTGCTTATGTTTTGCAGTTAATGCTGTCATGTCTTTTAAACTAATTGGTCTTCTACAGAAAATTTAACTGAAAATTAGCACATCTTTTAATAATATTGCTTTAACTTTAATAGCACTTTGCCTTTCATTTATAATTACACTAAAATTGTCATTTTTCAAGTTATATCTGCCTTTTTTGTGTTTGCTAGTGGGTTTTTAAATTAATTTCTTTTAAGAAGACTCCTCCTCCTCCACTACACGTGGTTTTTAACCTCACTTACAAACAAATATTTTAAATTGATTTTCTCATTCAGTTGGAGGAATAACATATATCCAAACCTGAGGAATGACTGAGCTCTTATGCTTATGAATCAGTAATTCATACTAATAACAAAAGGGTCTTTGAGTCAGAATAAACAGCAGACAATAAATAACAGCATTCCACCATTTGAAAATCTATTAATTCTTAAACTATTGTCCAAACTTTAAAGAAGTTTGGGACACTTTAAGTTACAAGATGCTGCTTACTAATTTTCTGAACAGAATTACATGAAAAATAGTCTTCTGTTCATATCAAAGATTGGAACAGTTTCTTTTCTTTATAAATAAGTGAGGATCACTTAGGGAGAACTCCTGAGTAGGGAATATAATGAAAAGTTATTTTAAAGTGTTGAATTATTTTGTTCCATTCTGTTATTTTGTTTTTATGAAGAAAAATAGGATTTGGTAATACAGAAAACAATCAAGATCTGAAGTTCTAGCACAAGCAAATGAATTCCAGGGTAGTGAATGTTAAGTGGCATCATCTGGTGCTGGAGACCCTTGTCTCCAACAGCACCTTGGGTCTTTTGCAGTGGCAGGTGTGGGAGGGAACCAGCCTGCCAGAACTGCTGCAGTCCTTGTGTCCTCAGTGCCAGAAGGAGGAACGGGGAAGCTTTGGCTCTCAGACTAAAGGCTCAGACCTTTGAAGGTACTGTGTGTTGAAAATTGGTTTCCTTCATGTACAGGATTTTATGGAATGATATCTCAACAAGACCCAGAAAGGAGTACTTCTGCTCAAACATTTGCTCTTTTGACGACTATCCTATATCACATAACTTTCCTATAGCTGAAAATAACATTTTTAAAAACCAGTTACATAATCTAAAAGATGCTTCCAATCCCATACTTTTTAGTTACACTTCACTTGGTGATGAAGGCATGCTCTGCTTTCCAGAAGTGGTGTTGCCTTGAGACTGACAGACAACGTGTATTATTTCCCTGGGTTTGAATATGCTACAGCAAAATAAATAGTAATATATCATTTAAGTACCTGATGGCAGTAGGTGTCTCTTCAAAGACATATTCATGATTAGCTGGAGCACTTTAACAATAGCCACTGCCACAGTTAAAACATGAAGCAAGCCCACAGCCTTCCCACAGAGCACAGTAAAGCTCTTGAACCAAACCTGGTGAGATCACTGCTACCAACTCATCAAAAACAGGTTCTGAGTGCAGGTTTTGAGCTTGTTATTGTCCTCTGAGCAATGGCACTTGAGCTACTACACTGTGAATCCTGGGCTGTGGAAAATATTGCCTTTGCTGCAAAACCAAACTGTGTGCAGATGATCAGTACATGGCACTTTGAAAACTAAACTGCATTAAGCCTTTTACCTTGGAAATAAGGAAATAAAAGAAAATTTTAAACTTAAAACGTCCAGTACTGTCATCTCGTAGGAAATAATGTTAAACTAGCAGAACGTAAAGATCTCCAGCACTCACTGAACAACATTTTCTAATCTGTGATTCATGAGCTGTGTTTAATGCACTACTTCAATATTATAAAACTATAAAAAATAAAATAATAATTTAACACTGATTAATACTGCACTATTATTATTATTGTTGTTGTTGTGTTTTATTATTGTCCAATAATTGAATCTTTAAGCAAATTATTTTAAATCTATTTTGTAGCTTTTCCCCTATACATACATCTATATGCATATTTCCAATGACACACAGGTCAGAAATAATACTGTATGGATGGCTATAATTTGACTTTCTAATCTTTCTTACACTTGTTTTACTACAAAACCCCACTACTGTGGGAAGAGATGAATTCTTAAAGAAGCACTTCATGAACATTTGCATTGTACACTATATAAGGAATTTTCATAACAGAGATATCAACATAGATCATAAAGTGAATCTTTTTCTATCAAAAACAAGCAGTAAAACCCACTGAATCACTAAGTAGATAGAATAATGAACTACATACTTGCATCCAAGTGAGCTGGCAAAAGACAGCAGAGTGCACATTATATACTTCTTACAGAATTCCTGTAAGAATTAATCCAAAGGGTTAAAGCATGACTACAAATCTCACAATTTAGCTAGGATTTGGGGTTCAGTTTGCCCATACTGGCAACTGTAAAGTTAGAGACATTAAATAGAAGCTGTTTGCTAAAAGCAAATGTAATTTAGGAAAAAAAAAATAAAGGTAAGAGATAATATAGTGAAAATAGATTTGTTTGTGTGAGAAACACTCTTTTCCTTGGAGAAGAAGTGAAAGGAGAACACACCTTCCCCATGAGAATATGGATAGTAAAGGGAAAAAACATCTCACACATTTTACACTTTCCGAAGGGTCAGGAAGAATTGTACTTTCCCAACTCCTTGCTGGGCCTTTGAGGAATAAAGAGAAAATAACACTGCCACTGATCAGAAAACTGGTGAAAGAAAAGACAGGATAGTGAACAATTGTAACTGACTGAATCCTTGCTTTTCTTCTTGATTAGTAATTTTTTTAAGTAGAGAATTTTCTACTTGTTATCGCATTTCTCTGGCTTCAGGCTGCACTGAAGTGCACAGTCAGATAATATGACCACTTACATGTGAAAATATTTAGAAAAAGGACTTTTATAGAACGGAACTGCAAAAACAGAGGGGTATGTTGTCCAAAACTAAGAGCTACCTATAACTGGAAACATTAAAATTTCTGAACAGGCATGCTGTATTTATTTTTCATTGCATCACTATTATTTACTTAAGACACCTTTGCACAAGGAAGCAATGATGGCCACAGTATCTCACTCTCATTCTATGGCAATGCCAGTGGCAACCAGAAGGATTAACTCTACTTTTTTTCTTGATTGTGAAGTGCCCTACTGAACAATACATTCAGAGACATTGACTTAGATAATTATGGGAGTAGATATACAGCTGTAAGTAACATTTGGAACCTTCATGTTAAATTATTCCCATTTATAACATGAATATAAATGGGAATTTATATTTAAAATTATTTATAAAAATTATATATTATTTATATTTAAAATGTTTAATAAATAAAAATTTATAGATAGAGATTTTAATTAGGGGACGTACAGAGTTTAGGAGTCCTTGCTTAGGTTTTTTGAATTTGTCACATTTACAAAATATTGTAAATAACTTCTAAGAAAAGCATTTTCTGAGGTTACAAAAAACTCCTAGGGCATCAGAATAAAATTTTATTTGTGTAGACTCATTTATCTGTGGATGGAACATATGGAAAATATAGCAGCGAAAACTACAAAATACATACAGAGCAAGACTGGTCTGAAAACTTAGCCAATATGAGGAGGATGAAAAAGAGCATGACTGAGGGGTTTGCTTCAGAACTGTGCTACGGTTGCAAAACAAAAGCCCCAGTGTAGACATAACCAAAGGCCACCATCTGTAGTTTCTGGCATGCACTGAAGTTTTGATTAATAAGAAAATTCATATGAAAAAGAGAGGATAACCTCTCTTCACACAAATAGAGTTCATGAGGTGTGTACAATGGCTTTCATGGAGCTCTATCAGTGTCCCCCAGCACTCATACTGAGAGCATTGCTCATAGCTACAGGAAATTAAAAGCTCAAAACACAGTTGATGCTGTCTGACAAGAATGGTGAGCACAGGGACTGACACACTGCATTTGGGTCTGGATTTTAGGCAGAAGGAACAATTTTTTTGGAAAACATGATCCTTAAAACCTGACATGAGACTGTTTCCTTAGAAAATTGTGGACTCTCAGAAGTCCTAGATATCTCAGTTATGGTCTCCATGTCCAACTAAGAAAATAAACTAGCTAAAGTTGCAAAATTCTTCTGACATCTAAGAAAAAAGCACCTTCTCCTGCCTACCTGTGGAAAAGATTCTACACCTTCACACTCTTTCACAACAAGTCTGATAGAAGGGAATGAAAAAGATTTGTTTGCTTACTGCGCTCATGAGAGAGTCCAGCACGCTGACGGCAAACGCGGTTCCACATGCAAAAGGCTGCGTGAGATACAGTTCTGTGTCGGGGTCATCATCATCATCTTGGTCCAAGAACTGAACATTTGAATCATTTACTGAAAATAACAATAATAATATTAAGAGAAAAATCAAAAGGTGTTTCTCAGTCACCAGCATGTGACCTCACACATCACACAGCCAAAGAAAAAGAAACGGCATATGTCTGGAAACACAGACTTGTGTCTTTGACGTCACTGAAAATGAAATCAAGATGGATGTGAAAATGTGCATTTAAAAATATGTTTCTTGTTATCTGGCTCATAAGAGGTGACACTCTTGTTCTTGACAGGTTCCTAGCCCTTCCCTGTAAAGCAGCTTCGAGGCACCAGTTGCCTGTGCTCAAAATTAGATATATCATACACCTGTATATTGAGACAGTCTTGGTACATAGGTGGGGTACAGTGGCTGAGGCTGTATGTGTGTACAGTGAAATGTAATCACAAGATACAAAGTTAGAACCCCGTTGTAAAATACAGGCTGTCAATAAAATTCTGATATAGCCCACAGGCATCTGTTAGATGTGCTGCTGTGATTCTTACCGAAGTGGTGTTAATGCACTTAGGGCTCAAAAGAGGATAAACCATCCCTTTAACATGCATCTATCTGAATGAATGAGCAGCTATTCTCTTGCAGCACTGCCTTTTGTTCAAATATTTGTCTCTATAACTTCACTTTTTTAGCCACAAATTCCACATTAGCCAGTGTGAAAAAGAATCTAAATCAGGCTGTTTTAGAGAAAAGCCCAGAAAAAGTAGTATTTGTCATTTTGACTTTCTCTGGCATTTCATTGTCACAGTTAAGCCCTCTTCCTCCAACTCATTCCAACCAAAAATAGTTGTTTCCTTGAGATCAGTGTATCAAGTGGATCATATTTCATTAAATATTTCATTTCCATATTAGTCTCCCTCAGGCATGAAAGCACAGACTGCTTAGCTATGCCATTGAAATACCCTTCAACTTACTAAATGACAAATTAATTTCAGTTCCCATGCAAGAAAGGGAAATGAAAAACTTTTTGAGCATTTGAAACTGTACACACTGATGATATCCCTATTCCCCATGTGAACACATCTCCTGAGCTAACCCAGCAAACTTTGAAAATAACATGAGAACTGCTGCTAACTTGATCAAATTTCAGCTCTGGACTTCTAAAGATAGAAATTCTTCTGCCTACTGTTCTGATCTTCTTTCTTATACAGTTTCAATTCTTCCCATATAGTTTTCCTGAACATCCACTCCTTTTCCAAACTCTCTATACCACTGTGCTTGCTATCTTTAACTTACAAAACATGAATTACTGCAGATAAAGCCTCTTGATAGCTGTCTAAATGAGATGAGGATAGAATTTAAAATTCTTGCCTTTGCGCTCCCTGATGTAATTGTTAAAACATAACACCTTAGTACTGTAATAAGCAAAATGTTCTGCCCTGGGAATCAGAAGACATTCATCCAAGAAAACACCAGGATCCACAATACTTTTTTCAGTGCAATACCTATCAATTTAATCTCCAGATTCTTAAGCAATACAGTATTTGAAAGCCTGCTGTATCAAAATGTATTTGAACAGCTTGTACCTCAGTTTAATTTGCTAGTTGAGAGTAGGCACTATTGACAGCAGCACTCTTTTTCCACTTCCATCTGGCAGATTAACACCTGACTTAGACACCGTGCTAGGCATGCGTGGGGTCAGTTCCTGAGGTACTAAAAACCTGTTAGGAATTCTGCAGGTGTGGGTTTATCCTCAGTATCTTTATCTTCCTGATGCAAGTTAACACACTGGGATGTGTGGGCCAGGAGAGCTGGGTGCAAACAGGCGGTGCTGGGCCATAGGGAAAAGCTCATCAAACGCTGCTCCAAAGGCTGGGGAGAGCACTCTGCGGTGAGAGGGAACCACGCAGGAGCTTGGCTGCTCCTCTACAGCTTCAAAACCTGAGCTTCTGAGAAAAAGCCTTATTCTACAAAATAAACATAAAAATAGCTTGAGGGAAAGTATGATGCTTGGGGTTTTTTCTGGTATCTTTTACTTCTTCTTGGACTTCCTGTGAAAAGTTGCTAAGGCATGTCCACCAAACTGACAACAGGCTGAAGCAACAAAAAGAAAGAGAAAGAAGAGAGAAAAGGAGAGAAAAATTGGCATAGGAGAGTGAGGGCCAGGGAGGTGGGGACTTAGGCCAAAAAAATGAATTGGTGAGGAGGCGCTATGAAAACAGCCGGCAGGTCAGACGAGAGTGATCAAAGGTTTACTGATGCTGCGTGAAAAAAAAATCATTAAGAAGACCAGAACAAGACAGTCAATTTCAACCAGAACCACAAATAAAACACATTCAAAGCAGTGCCATGAGGGTAGCCCCTCTGATACAGCCAGATAAATAAAGGAAAAGCTGATGACAGTAAGAACAACAGAAAGTAACACAGTGATGTGAAGGAAAAAGGCACTTCTTACCCAGTTCAGTTATCATTAGAATGTGGGTTCCACTGTTTTTTTCCTGACTGATTGAAACCAAAGGCAGAAGTTTGCCAGGCTTAGCTAGTAAGTAAAGGATTTAGGGGGAGAAGAAAGTACAGAAAGAGAATAAAGTAAGGGAAAAAGACAGGTAAGGCTAAAAAATAAAACTGAAAAAGAAAACAGAAGGACAAAGGACCACAAATCAAGTTTGTATTTGCTATGAAAAAAACAGAACAGCTTCTGCACTTCACATCACACTGCTTGACAACATAAATACCCACAGCTAGAGTGGAAATCAGAGTCTAGTTACCTACCATCATCATATTCTCAGGAGTGAAATATCTCATACTATTATACAGGTTTGGTTACACATGATTAAACAGTTTTGGACCATGAAGAAATAAACAAATGGCCTCTTACAATTGATTAAATGCACAGGAAATATCTGCTTATACTTACTCTGGCCTTTTTCCTTTTCTAACTTAGCCCAAAGACCCCTGCTTGTTTGTTACACTATGCAAGAAGCATCTTGTCTGATAGAATATTTATTTAAGAAAACAGAGAAAACCCAAAGGAGGGAAATATATTTCAGTTATTCAAATAAAGTGAACCAACTGTTACTAAACTTTCTTTAGAGAGAGTAATATAAAACAGTTATCAAAAGAGAAAATGCAACAGTGTAAGATCAAGTATTGGTAATTTTTCTGTATCTGCATAACAAGGAAAGTGGGAAAAAGACAAGGAAATATAAATGGAAGGATACATTTTAGTTTTTCTTACCTAGCTCTGTTATAATAGGGATGTTGGCTCCTGTTGTAATGGAGGGTTGACGTAACAGGCCATGGACTGGACTATTGTCTGGAGATGTCCTATCCATCCCAGGGGGTGTAAAGCCTAAAAGGGGGAAAAAAAAAAAAAAGAGAGAAAAATAGGGAACGTTTACAGAGGGCAAACCACACCAAACAAAAAAAAATTCTGAAGCAAACACCTTTCCTTAAACAGTAATTCATATTTTAAAAAGTACTGCTTGTAAGTGGTAATACAACCATGGCAGGGTTTTTGTAATTTTCATGTGTACCATTTATAATATGCCTTTTTATGAGGATTACAATTGTAGGAATATTGGGATGGAAGGGTCCAGTCTACAAGACAAAAAGATAGGATGAAAGGAAAAGACACAGGTTTTCAAACTGTATATGAGAGGATTGCTTGAAAAGAACTGGAAACAGTGACAATTTGAAGGAAATAAAGGTGGGAAAAGAAACAAGTTGGAAGGCACTCACAAGAAAAAAAATCTGGAGACCAGCAACATTCACCTCTAAAAAATACTGTTTTCAGCCAGATTCTCAACAGTTTGATATGGAGCTCAAAAACATTGAGTTTTTTTTATCTTTTTTTTTTTCTTTCTTTAAATAAAAACTACCCAAGAAAGACCTTTTGGAGTTTGATTGTAAGTACTGAATAATGGGTAGTTATTCAAAACCCTATGCAGCAGCAGGACTGGACATTCAGCACTGAGACTAATGCATTCCATCCCCCTTGTCCAGTAAAGCTATAGAAAACCTGGGAATGCTGATTTAATGTCATTGCAGAAGTGATGGCAACGCTAGAAAATGACTTTATGGTTTCATATAAACCAATATAAAGACAGCATTTTTAGACAAATATTTGTCTGCTAGGAATAAAACTGAGCCAATTTTACTTTAAACCACCTTAAAAAAAAAAAAAAAAAAAAACATTAATATTTTTTTTTGCCATATTATTCCCAAGTTCTTTGACTTCACATCTGACATCCAGAGACAGACTTTTGGTCCTTTATCACTAGTTCTGAATTCTGCATACACTTATTCTCAACTAATCACAGCCAGATCAATTCCTGACTTAAATTCACTATCTTCTTGCTGTGTGGAAGTTGTTTTGCTCCATTAAATTCACTGATACATTCACCTGGTACCGAAATCAGAGGAAGATGATATGATACCTTACCTTTCTTCAATTTGGAGACCAATTTACAAACCAGGAAATCTCCAAACTAAATTATTGTTGTTAGCATATCATACTGGTTTTATATTGTCTTAAGGACTTACAGTTCTCTTCCAGTGATAATTACATCACTCTTAAACTGCCCCTAAACCACAAGGACCACTAGATCTGGGCTTATTGATTTAACAGGATTTAGTTTCTTTCTTCCATTCATCTATCTCTATGTTTTGTCTGTATTGCATAGAGCATATACAGGTAATAAAACTAGAATCACTGGGAAGGGACTTTCTTAGCTCTACAGAAGGTACTGGTATGAATTTCATTCTGACTATCACAAGAAAACTAGGTACAACATGGTGATTGTACAGACAGGATAGCTTAAAAAAGGGAGTGAAAGTCTGTGAAGAAATTCTCAGGAGAAAAGAAGTGGATATGGTATCTTCAACAGGCTTGCAAAACAAAACAATGTCATAGAGAAACCTAAGTCATTAGAGCAATTCTAACCAATATTACCAGTGGATAGAAAATCTTGATAAAGCAGATTTCTTAGAGGCATTTGGAAATGTTAACAGTCAATCATGTAACACCACCTCTGGTGCTGAACTCAGGAACACCAGCTTGGTGACACTGAGTTGCAGCCCCAGCCACTTCCAGTTTGCAGATGTTTCCTTGTATCTAGCACTATAACTGTGAGGTGATTTGGCTCTTTGAATGTTTACCTCTTCATGGCAGAGCCTGAGATTCCTCAGGCTCACCAACTGAGTCTGACAGACGTTTTTCAGTCACCACCTTGTAAGTTACAGGTAACACTGACAGTCTCACAACAGCAGAAAAATTAAAGTGGGACTCCAAAGGGAGGAAATGCTATCTGAGGACAGGTGGGTATTAGTGTGACACCTCCTTCTGCAGCAGGATCCAGTGATTCAAGCCTTGTATCCTGTTATGGGATGCATTCTTTTAGGAGATGCAAGATACAGCCTTTGTCACATTAGAAAAAAGCTCAGGCAGCTGCAGATTCCTTGAGCAGTTAAGGTGGCAGGCCCAGCTGGGTCCCCTGCTGAATTACAAGTCAAAATGGCAACAGCAAGAATTTAATGCTCCCTTCTCTAAAAGTAAACAAAACTAATATTGTTCTCATGCACTCCAGGGATTGTACTGCTCTGAGTATCCCTGGAGGCTCTGCTTCTCCCTTTTTTCCTGAAGCCTTTCTCCCCACATTTCAGAATGCACTTGCTAAACCACCTTCTAGTGAATCAGGCCCTTCAGATGGTAGGAGCACAGCAGTCTTTCCCTACCAGTTAAAAGCAGATTGAAGTAAGCCAGTGTAACTCAGCTAAATGTGCAAGTTCTTCCTGCCTCCCCTTCACTGCAATGTGCACATACACAGAGACACGCTCACTCTCCATCAAAGGACATTTGTAGCCACCTCTCTAACCCTTCGAATATTTGTCTTCCTGAGATGGTGTCAGAAGATTGAAGTAAATGTGGCATTTTTGTTAGACACAGATTGTCAGAAGCTCTGTAATTGCACACTGCACACATAGTGCATTCAGTCTGAAATGCAGGAAGCATGTTAAAGAGATTGTGTTTTCTCCTTGAATGAAAAATAGACTTGTGCTTTAATATTTTTCATCCTACTGTCTTGAAAGACGTGAGAAGTATCTGATAATTTAATTTCCTTGCTCATACTTAATTCAGACACTTCTAGAAATTTACTTTAAAGTAATATAAAAATTGTATTTTCAGGAAAACAAAATATTTGGGGATTTTGTGTGCTTATGTTTCGAGTCACAAGCCATCGAACACCTTCAAGACACATTCCTACTCCCAAGTCACAAACTAATTTCCATACACAGGCTGTCTATTTTTTTTTACTCCAGAAGAGAAAACAAAAAAAAAAAAAAGTGCAGGAAACTAACCTGCTTTATCAGAACTTTCATTTAAAGGCATGAAAAACTACAAGTGACAGCTGTGCAGATTCAGTGAATGTGACATTTTTGAATTTCTTCAACTTGACAAGTAAACACCTTAAATCGGTAATGCTATATGCATAATACATGACCTGTATTTTGACATCCATCATCAAATGCTGACTTGAGAAAATACAGGTTTGTACGTCAAGGAATAGCACCCATAAAGCAGGGAGAAATTCAGGTCACAGGGTATTAGGAAAACGCTATTTCATTACAGAAGCTGAAACAAGCTAAGGCATCAGATTTAAGATCCATTTTCAGCTGTGAAAAGATTCAATTCCTCTGCACAGAGCATTCATTTAGAAATGACATGCTTTCCTCACAGCCTCTTTTCATTTTCCTTTCCATATTCCATTTTCTCCTTCAGTCCCCAAACCTTGTTCCATTAATGCTCATAAAAATCGTAAAACAGGGCTGATAGTTGTGATCTTACAAACACAGTATCTCCTTGTTCTACAAACAACTGGGGGAGCTCTGGCTGCAGCTGCTTAACGGGAGCAACCTCTACAGTAAAACCCACATGCCTGTGCAAGTCTGAGCACGGTGCCTGTGGAAGGAACTGCAGTGACAGTGGGCAGACTTCTGGAGAAGGGAATTCTCTTTGCCAACAATTAGGAGGTAAAGCAGAATCGTGTCAGTTCTAGCAGTCACTGCATCTGGTACTAAACTGCTGTACTGGCTGAGTGGTCTGCTTTGTATCACTTGAATGTTTCTTTTTCTAGGGCTTGTTTTTGCTTTCCTCAGTAATTAAACTGGCTTTACCTCAGTCCATGAGCTTTTTTCTCACTGTGGAACTTACTTGTCAGTCACAGTCAATCCACCACCACTGGCTATAATCTACACTATAACATAAAGTTATAGTATCATTTAGGTTCAAAGTGACCTTTAAAATCATCAAGTCCAACCACTAACCCAGCATTACCAAGTCCACCACTAAACCATGTCACTAAGTGTCACATCTAAATGTCTCCTAAATACCTCCAGGGATGGTGACTCCAACACTTCCCTGGGCAGCCTGTTCCAATGCTTGACAACCCTTATAGTGAAGAAATTTTCACTAATATTCAATCTAAACCTCTCTTGGCACATCTGGAGGCCATTTCCTCTTGTCCTTTCACTTGTTACCAGAGAGGAGAGACCAACTCCCAGCTCACTACAACCTCCTTCAAGGTAGCTGGAAAGAGCAATGAGGTCTCCCTGATCAAACTGAAGAAGCTTCAATAGGAGGGGGCCCACCCCTATCTGTCTCTGAAACAAGACACTGCCAAGCAGTGAATGAAGGACATCACAGCTCTGAGAGGAACACAGGTTTTGGGCTCCTGACATGCTCCATCAGTCAGGCTGGCAGTCAGCAGTCACTGCTTCTCTCCTGGCAGCAGCATCCCTCCCTGACAGGCAGGGCCTCCCATGGCCCTCCTCAGCCACCTGCTCGGAAGGACTGTGAGTCTCCTGCAGCTCTGTGCAGAAAGCTGATGGTTCAACACCCTGATTTTGTGCAAAAACCATCTCCCAGCTCCCTCTAAGATACTACTGCTCACAAAATAGGCAAAAAACAATCAATTGCATCAGAAGCAAAAATGTAAGCCTTAAAGATGTTCCCCCCTTCATGGAAAGAGAACACAGGGGAAATTTCCTTGGTAATAGAAGGCAAGCTCTCTTTACCAGGGGATGCAAGTGCTCCCCTGCTCTGAGCTCAGCATGGCCAGGTGGCTATAAAACTTCACTGTACCTTACAAAAAATAGCACCTACAAAGGGATAAGCAGCACTGGGCTGGTGGAGCTCTGCACCTCTTGAGCCAGGCTGACCCAGGGAGGCACTAACTGTATCTCAGCAGTAATATGCAGGTATTCTGACATCCACAGTGGCACTGTGATGAAATTCAAAATTAAAGAATGCTGGGATGGCTAAACACCAATTTTGCTCTGCTTATGTGTGAG